TAAATCAGCCTAAAATACTCAAAAAACAATCATTCTGATCCAATATTGTTTTTCACCTTATAACTAATTTATTATGCAATCATAACCATGCAAAGACCGCTTTAAATTGAATTTTTAAAGTCCCATGGAACTTTAAACTTGCAATATACGACTTGTTTTCAATTAAAAAAAGATATAAGTTCATGCATTGTATTTTATTGAATATAAGTAAATAGGTATTTATGTTATCTGACTGTAATAGACTAATACTAGAACAAACTTTCTAGAATGAATTACTTGTGATTGTTTTAAAAATGTATATTTTTTAACCATAGTGACATCTGTGGTGTAAGGGGTCAAAATAGATTTATGTTAGAAAGAAGGTAAAAAGCCATTTATTTTATATGCAGTAGAACCATATTTTATTTTGCATAACAAATCAGGTGTAAATTTAACATGAACCATTGTATGTGTTTGTGTGTGTGTGTGTGTGTGTGTGTGTGTGTGTGTGTGTGTGTGTGTGTGTGTGTGTGTGTGTGTTTTCAAAGTAAAATCACTCTCATGACCAAAGATATGGTCAATGGCCTCATAGGTAGTCAACCTCTTGCTCATGATGAAACACACTGCATGCTACAGCACAATGAAATTGATAATAACTCAAACAAGCCTTATTTATAGATACCAAGAATTCTGTATAATGTTGTTCATGCCCCTCCTTCTCAAGATGACACCTGGCTACGAGAAAAAAAAAAAATTATGGAGCAAAAGAAAGTGTGTTTGTGTGTGTGTGTTTTGGTTAACATGTTTCAATTTTCTGTGGAAAAAGTTGTGTTCCCGCGGGGGGAGGGTGCCAGGTGGATTGAGAGTACAAGTCCATACTACGGGAAAATAATTGTTCCCACCAAAGAAGGGAGGGGTGGGGGAGGTGTGCAGAGTCAAATATGAATCTTCTTTGAGCCAGATTTGATCCATAGAGCGACCCACAACTTAAAGGACGCATGCAACAGCCACTTTTTTCTGCCGGGTCATATTTGACCCGTAGCATCACAGATGTCACTTTTTTGTTAAGAGACCTTCAGAATTGACTTAAAGGGGAAAAAATAGTTTTGTGTGTTTATAAAGCTTTTTCTGAGGATATCATAAAATCTTGTGCCAATAAAAAAATCTAAAAGGCATTTTTTACAGTTGAAAATGGGTCAAAAATGACCCTAACACATTAGAAGGGTTAAAGGGATACTTCACCCGTTGAAACATGAATCTGTATTGACATTGGTCATATATGTAGAAATGTGAAATACATTTTGAAGTTGGTGCCTTCTTGTCCGAGAAAAGGCAGAAAGTGTCTTTTTGGCTCATGTGGATGAAAGACACCAAATCCCAGAATGCACAGCACCGCAGGCGGCCAGCAATATAGCAATATATTCTTCCAGTGACGCAATATGACGATAATTGTGTCAGTGGAAGCTTCTTTTCAGACTCAGAAATACAAAGATTTCCCATCTCAGGAGAAAATGAGGGTGGGATGCACGACCATTCAAAAATACTACCAGGTTTCTACTGATACAAAGATTAATGCAAATGGGTGACGTATCCCTTTAAAGGCAGGGTTGGTCATTTTTTTAAAACTAGCATGATTTTGAAAGTAGCATTCCCTCAGTGCCCCGTCTGCACCTCCGTCTGAGCTCCAGGAGTCCAGAGCCCTCCGTAGCAGATAACGCACGGCGCCTCAATTTAGCACAGAAGAGAACAAGCGGGACGGGATGTCAGACACTGAGACAACATTAAAACATACGGTTTATTTTCAAAATAAAACACTCTGTATTTTATAACGGCCGTATATGTGTTTGCTTTTCTGTTTAAAATGGTTTTATATGGTTTCATACCACATACATCGGATTATCTCACACTGTTTGCGCTAAAAGAATGCAGCCTGTGGGGGTTGACGCTTTTTAGGTCGGGTACAATCACTTCTATCTGAACCACTTCTCTTTCCCGCTTCCATTGCTGCAACACCTGTTGACCTGATAACTGCTCTCATATCTGGCAAACCGAGGGGCGTCCAAAACAGCCACTTGGGGAGGTGGGGGGGTGTTCCTTAAAAGCGCCTACCTTCTCTGGTCCAAACAAATCCAGAGCATTCAGGAGCAGAATCTAAAGTTAGAAGGAGGACATACTGGCTGCTGCATTGTTGTCAGAGAAGCCAACACTTCAACATAGCATGTTTCCTTAATGATCAGAGAGTAAGATACCTTTATCATTTCAGTCAAGAGATATTTTACTGATTACTCCTTTAAGCTAATGAAGCATATAGCTGTCATCAATTGATACTTCACAAGGTACTAAATTTACCTCAGGAAATCCTCAGTATGGATCCTGTGGTGATGCATTGTGGTGAAGGATGATGTAATGTAAGTCCTCTGTTCACAAGGCACCAAAACAAGGCATGCAGTTGTACGGTGGTTTAAACCCTTTTAATCAATCTTCAGTCTATACCACTAAAAAAGGATGTGTTTTGTGCATTATGGGCTGTTAAGATATAGAAAGAAGTACGTTGTTGGCTAAGACACAACATGGTTATGAAGCGCCACCTTCATTAAAATCTCATCTGGAGTCGAATTATCTTATGGAGCTCAAAAAACAGCCCATTATCCCGATCACAGCCTTTGAATTTAAATTGCAACAAAGCTCTTACCTGTTGCTGACAGCTGACACAAGAGGGCGCTGCATCATCTGTTCACTGCAGATGTGTTAGTGCTGTTTGTGTGATGACAGAGCTGCTGCAGAGGTAAACGGTTCCTGGTGATTCTGCAGAGAAAGACGACCGTCTGGAGAGAGAGAGAGAGAGTCTGTTGTTCATATGATCTGAGGGGTATGAGAAGTGATTTGATGGTATGCTCAGGGATGCAAAGAATCAAGGTTTGCATACCTTGAACTTAAATAGAGTGTTACAATTTTAAAGCAGCACGTTTGTTTTGACAACCTGAACTTGCAAAAGAGGATAACCGAAGTTCTGCAAGACAAAACAAAAAATGATTACCCAAAAATTATAGTTTTTTTGTATGTGTGTGCAAATTTCTATAAAATGTTTATTTAATCTAGTAACACAACAAGGTGTCATTTCCTTAAATCTCCTGCATGCATACTGCAGCTTCAACAAGACTCCAGTTAATCACAACAGTCACAGTGTCACGCAGATGAATGAGCAATGGTGAAGAGCGCCAATATGTTTTTCAACCTAGTGTGAGAATGTATAGTGATACGGATTTGCACTGCCACCTGCGATAATCAGGGCAGATGGCGAGCAATTAAGAAGTGTGTGACAACATCGGGGTGTGAAATTGGTAAACAGAGATTTGGAAATACTGTCAGCAGGTTTAAACAAGTGAGCGTGAGAGAAAGCATGAATGAAGGTATGTCTGTTTGTTTGGATAAGAGTGAAGTGAAATCAGGCTGTAATGAAAGGAGCAGCAGGGGTGGCATTTGTCATTTTGGGGTGCTGGGGGACAGTTTGCCTTAATGGCCCCCCTCTACACCCAATGTTTTAGACTTTACAAACAACCAGTTTTGCATATTTCTGCCTTTGAGGAACTTTTTATTCTAAACAACATCAGGCTTTTCACTTCCTGTTTGAGATATCAGAGAAAAAAGTGACTGCATTGTTTTTTTTTGCAATTTAAAGTCTTTATTTTTCCCACTTAAATATAATATAAATCAAGTATATCCTCTGAAAATAACTCTGTGAGTCATGACTGTCTACAATGGGTGTAACACCCGAGTCCCACTGTCTGTGATGTTTTCAGAGTTTTCAGAGTCCTATCTTCACTTTGTTTACATCGCCAGGACGGCCGGCTGACTCCTCCCCTCACGTATAAAAGTTGTTTAATTGAGGGACTAGAGAAAAGAAGAATAACATACTGTACTCACTGCTTAACTGTGTTTCTAGATCACGCTCATTTCAGGTAAATTTACATGCAGTGTGAAGATACCAGCATAATAAAGATCGCTAGTATTAGCATGCTAACACAACAATGCAGGACAAGTTGTTTTGGTTTCATGCTGGTGCTCAAGGGCGACATCTGCTGGATCAAAAAATCGCATATAAAGCCTTTAAGGTTTTTCACCTGTAAAGCCTATAGAAGAGAAATCCAGGCTTTTTAAAAATAAATGTAACCTTTACTTATAGAGCATAGAATTTGTTGTTTCTAAGTGCTTCACACAAACAACAAAACCAAACAGACGGGTCAAAAAAATACTTAGAAGGAAAAATACTGTACGCTTTTGTTTTGTTTAATCAGGTGTCAAATAAATATTAAAGTAAAATCAGGGAAAATTGGAAATCCAGGGAGTCACATTTCCCTCTGAAATTCAAAATGCTGCCAAAAAAACCTTCTGATTTTGACAAGAAAATGTGCTTTCTTAAAGTGGATCAAGCGCATGGCAAAGCAACCAATGGTCTCGACAGAGGCTGTGTTGCCTTTTCATTTTTTGCACATGTTTCCTATGTTTCTGTCATGTTTTGTGCAACATGTTTTAGTTTTGTCTTACTATGAACCTGCAAAGCTTGTTTTAAAAAGAGAGTGTCACCATGCTCATATGCAACAGGTGAGAGAAAGTAAAACAGGTTTTCAGGACAAAGTGATCTGTAGGTGCTACATGAAAACAAAGCAGGAATCCCCGACTCATGCTCTAGGTTATCATTGATCCACACACACACATGCACACACACCCAGTCAAGCACACACATTCATGGCGCGCCTAAGTCCGGCACCGTGCTGGATCTTCCCTCCCACTGACAGATGGATCAGGTTAATATCATAATTAAGCACCTCGGCCCCGACGGTTCCTGTTTACCGCCTGGTTGCTAGGCAGTGACATCAGCTGATCCCTCCCTCCTTCCTCTGTAATCCCTTCCCTCTCTGCCTCGCACTCCCTCACACAAACACCACTCTCTCTCTCTCTCTCTCTCTCTCTCTCTCTCTCTCTCTGCTCTCTGAGATAGGCAGCGCAGACGTGGGCAGCGTGTGGGGGGTATAGGAAGAGACGAGGAGAGAGAGAGCGGGAGGGTTGTAGGTAGTAGAGTGTGTGAGGCTGTCAGACAGCATGGTCTGGGACTGAGGACAGCACTTGGAAGACGCAGCAGCAGACTCCAGGACCTCCATGTAGAGCACTGTGGGGACATCCACACACATCACCTGGACCTGTCCACCCGGGGGCAACACCCACTTCTTCCAGGGGAGGAAAAAAAGGAAGAGGTCAAAGGAGGAGGAGGTGGACAAGAGGGGGGGGTTTGTTTTTGTCTTCTTTTTTTTTTTCTTTTTCACAGTTTTTTTTGGGGGGTTTTTGGGAGTGGGCTCCGGGCTGGACCGCATGCATGACACAACGCAAAGGCGAGAAACCCGTCATCAGCATCCAGGAGCACATGGCCATTGACGTGTGCCCTGGACCCATCCAGCCCATCAAGCAGATCTCCGACTACTTCCCCCGTTACCCTAGGGGCCTCCCCCCTTCGGCGCCGCCCCCAAAAGCGGGCCAAGCAGGGCCCCAGAGCCCTGCCCTCCCCTCCTCCTCCTCGGCGGCCGCCTCTGCCACCGAGAGTGACCGCCCCAATGAGGATAAACCGGACCGGGCTTGTGCCGGAGCCGCCGCCTCCTCGCAGGCCAGCAGGAGGGACGAGGAGCCGGACGTGGAGGGATACGACTCGGATGACTCCAGTGAGTGCTTTCCAACATGTCTACTTGTGTGTGTGTGTGTGTGTGTGTGTGTGTGTGTGTGTGTGTGTGTGTGTGTCCCTTTTACTTCTTCCTCTTCCTTCTCCCTTTCTCTTATTACTGCATCCCCATTTTTTTTTGACGCCTGTTGCCAGGCATCCCTCCAGCCCGAGTGGCTTTGTGGCTTTATCTCTCACCTTTTTCTTCTCTCGGCTGCCTCGTCCATCTCTCTCTATCTCTGCCCGCCTGGTGTGTGTGTGTGTGTGTGTGTTTGTGTGTGTGTGTGTGTGTGTGTGTGTGTGTGTGTGTGTGTGTGTGTATGTCTGTGTCTCCCTGCTGCAGCTAAACTCTTTTTCCCCTCTCAGTCGACACAGCCAACTGTTGCTGCTGCAAAAGAATACAACTCCCCCCCTCCTCCTCCTCCTCCTCTTTCTCTTTCTCTGCTCTCCTCCAGCGGAGAGCATGATATGTGTGATTTTATTGGAGGAAATGGTCGCACATGTCTGTCTCCTCCCGGTGTATGCGTGCATTTTTTCATATTACCCATGCCTTCCAGGGTGCTCGGTGTAACACTGTCGATCAGTCTCAGTCTGAGCGATTCATGGCTCCTTCAAATTAGTCGCAGTTTTGCGCTCAGAAGAGGCTGACGTGCATCTGTGAGCTCATCCACATACAGTACAGGAACATGACGAGAAGTTCCTAATGTGATGGAAACGCTGTTTAGTCGGTCTGTCTTTTATTCTCAGCGTAAAAGATGTTTGTCCTTATTTACCTCCATCACAGAGAGGGGAGGTTCCTTTGAGAAAGCCTTTTGCTAAATGTCATTCCTTTAATCGGTCAGGTTTGGAGGATGAATATTTATGGATTATTTTTTATACAAAGCACAGCTGAAGGATAAATTGTAATTTTTGAAAATTTCAACATGCAAAAAAAACGATTTTCTATCCCAAACATCTGCAGATGTCAGAAAGGTGACTCGACAGTCGGCACCATGCTGAGAGGAATGTGTCACTCCTGCAAACCTGCAGCATTTTTTTACAAACCTTTGGATCCGTCTGAATAATCCCGGAAACAGTGAAGGACATTTTGCATTTGTTGCCTTGAACTTGGCCGAGCAACAGTTCACCCTGAATAACATGTTGCACACACACACACACACACACCTGCTCCAGTGTCCTCCTTTTCTAGAGGTTCTCATCAGGAATGCTTTAGTGCACGAGAGGCTTGTGATTGCAGGTTAATGTGTTACTGCAGTGTAGCTTCTCCTAAGAGTTAATCCATGCAGAGCAGCATGCAAAGGGGGGGGGGGGGGTTAAGGCCATCTCTAATCCAGAACTGGACAGAAGGGGGGATGGGGGGATGGTAGGGAACAGAAGAGGCAGGTTTGGCATGGCAGATGTTGCTCTATGACCTCAGCAAAAGCAAACCAGGATTTCCACTCAGTGGGAAAAAGAGAGATGGAGAGAGATCCACTCTTCTAATTCATGAGAGCAGACGCTCGATTAGTGATGAACTGCTAGAGCCAGAGAAGAATATCTTTTGGCTTTTTTTGTTTCAGCAATCACAGCAACAGGTTTCTTAATAAGTCTTGCTGTGTGAGGGAATTAAAATCAAATGCAAGGCGATCTCACTGAACCCTCTCAGGTTGAAAGCATTCGGCTGTCTCCTAACCTGAAACAGTTTCTGTCCAGGGATTGTGTTGTTAAAGTAAACTATGGATCAATTTTCACATCTAGATAAAACCCACTTCATCCACATTTAGCTACAACCTTTTTTTTTTTTTTTTTAGCTGACAGAGATAACGAATACCTGCCTTGTTTTGCATTATGTGCAAATGTGCATTGGAAACCCCTTCAAAATAAAACATGCAGCTTTCGATCGGTTATGTCTCACTATAGCGGCAGTCTCACAGACCAAAAAAAAACTCCGTCAGACGATCGCCGCCCCTCCTCCTCAGTGTCTAACCAAGTGCAGCCATTTGTAAGACTGACCTCCATTCTGATATGCAGCCCAAAGTTGAGTCAGTTCTTAATTATTTGAAGTATTTTAGACCGAACAAGTCTTTTTCTTCGGTTCTGAAAGTCTGATGGTTCTCCTGTGAGCTTCCTTCTTTGTTTAGAAAGCCATTACTTCATATATTTAATATTTATATAGGATATATTTGATATCCGCTTAATGATACCCTAACCCTAAGATAAAGCATTAACAAACTACCCTCCACTTGTTGCTTCAGCCACACAGGAGATACATTCAGTGTTGTTTTTGGCAGATGGAAGGGGTTTTAGGTGCTTTAGCTGCCAGGTTGGATTTTCAATCCCAAGGTTTCTCGTCTACATGTTGAAATGTGTGAAAATTGTTCTTCATTGTCAGGCCATGTAGCCCTGTGCATCACAGCTCTGCCACAGGTGGGGTTAGGGAATGTGCATGAATGAGAGGCAAGTTGTAAAGTGCTATAGTATGTATCTGGGGAGGTCGGTAAGTGTGATATAAGTGGCATCCATCTTGCCTGTTATTATCAGCAGGGCAATATTTTGACATATCACTCACTGATGTAGTTCTGTTTGGGAGAGGTAGAGGGCTCAAGATTCTCCTTGTCAAAACTTGGAACAGTCAGTGCATTAATATGATGTTAAAAAAAAAAGTATTTACTGTACATGTACTCTTAACCTCCAACCTGACAATCAAAACGCTGTTAATCTTGCCTTCATGGAGAAATGGAAGAAGCTTATTCTTATTGGAAAGTTTTCATTTGTCTGCATCCAGGTGCAACAATAAGAATGTGTTTGTTTCTTTGAAAGTGTGCGTCATTGTGAAGACACTACAAAGACATGACAAAGACAAAGAGTTCTTGGAGAGAAGTTTTGAAAGGGAAGTGGGATGCAATCAAGAGGATAACAGCGGGCCTTTCGAGTGTGGCCTTTTCAGACCAAGTAGGACTTGAGATTTGGTCGGACAACAAATTGTATCCGTGACCCGCAGAGAGTAAACTGCAGGGCTGAAGATGGCGTGCTGCCTTTGACAGGTCTCCATCAAAAAAATTGTTTTTTTAACAGACTTCCTGTGAATGACTGTTGAATTAAAAAATCAACAGATGCATGCATACAGTTTAAAATGAAGGTCAGGATGCACCTCTAGCAGGGGACTCACTACAAGATAATCCGGCTGATTCTGGACCTGAACAAAAGTATTCAAAATCTCTTGACAGATTTCCTGTAGTGTGTGAGGCGTGAGCCCTCAGTCCCTCTCTGATGCTTTATGAATGCATTTACACTTTTCTTGATCAGTTTCTGCCTAATCTGCTGAATTGCATGAAGCAACTTAAATACATTTGCTTAAGGTGTTTGGATGTAGTGATATGACTTTATCAAACTGGTGTTGGTTCACAGCTTTGCTTCAAGGCGTCTGACTGTATATAAACTTGGACAATGTTCCAGTGACATCACACATTGGTTTCTGAAGGGCTGGTGTTGAAGCCCATCCATATTGGAAATGCCGACTCTGACAAACTTTCAGTCAACGGCAGGCAAAGAGCTGGAGCTTAGGCTGGCCTCAAAGCCTCATGACAAACTGCTGCAAAGCTGCTGCTTGCAGTTGGACTGCTCACGCCCCAAATTATGCACAATTCGTATCCTTAAAGGCTTTATATGCGATTTTTTGATCCAGCAGATGTCACCCTTGAGCACCAGCGTGAAACCAAAACAACTTGCGCTGCATTGTTGTGTTAGCATGCTAATGCTAGCGATCTTTATTATGCTGGTATCTTCACACTGCATGTAAATTTACCTGAAATGAGCGTGATCTAGAAACACAGTTAAGCAGTGAGTACAGTATGTTATTCTTCTTTTCTCTAGTCCCTCAATTAAACAACTTTTATACACGAGGGGAGGAGTCAGCCGGCCGTCCGGGCGATGTAAACAAAGTGAAGATAGGACTCTGAAAACTCTGAAAACATCACAGACAGTGGGACTCGGGTGTTACACCCATTGTAGACAGTCATGACTCACAGAGTTATTTTCAGAGGAGATACTTGATTTATATTATATTTAAGTGTGAAAAATCACAGATAAAGCCTTTAAGAAAATCAAAATGGGTGAGTTAAAAAAAAAAACCAATCACAGTGCAGTGTGTGTCGATTAAGACAAAAACTATTCAGACCAAATCACTTTTTCCTACCAGTCTGTAAACATGTTAATTTCTGCTGTTATTTGAGGTGTGTGTACGGGACTTCTGGGTCTTTGGAGACAGCCTCAAGTGGACGCTCGAGGAACTGCAGTATTTTTGCACGGCCGCATTGGCTCCACTTTCCAACACCTGGCGTGGCCACTTGGTGTCAGTTTAGCTTCAGTACCCCCTGCATCAGCTGCTCGCAGACGTCAAACTGCGTCTCCTTTCCATCCTCCCTGCTAATAAGGCAATTACAAAAAACAGCTGTCGGAGCATCATCTCAATGATTTTTACAATCACCTGAAGAGTCATCAGTGATGCCAGATAATTATCCTGTCAACTCCACTTCCTTATTAGAAAAAAAAAAGCGTCAAAGCAACTATGGTAGCTTTTTAATTGTAAACACAAATATTGGATGGGAGTCATCTGCAGTCACATCACAAGCCTCACCTACGCTGCTGATGTGTCTAATGAAGGCTGGCACTAAATAAAGACTGAACACATAACAAGTGGCTGTTTGGGTCTGATGCAACATCCCAAATAATCCCAAGCTGCTGCTGCTGCTGTCATGGGAGTTACAGAGAGGAACAGGAGGAGTATAAACAAATAGTACAGCAGCAGTATGAGTCTGCTTACATCTCAACATAACATACAACGGGGTCACAGGTTGGTCCGTACCTCGGTTTGCAGTGAAGGGTGGACCATGGACTGGGTTATGTGAACACAGGATGGGACATAGAAAAGAGACTTGAGTACTTTTAATAAATACTTGAAGCCGGGGTCTTCTACTTCTGCATACCCACATAGCATTAAAAAACTATACTCTTCAGTATCCATCC